AGTGATGCCAACAGTAATTAAGGGTTAACAACAAGACTGTGCACACAGACCATACAGGGGTGCACCTAGAGTGCCCAGCTCAGGTGACTGGAGAGGCTGAGCCACTGGGCCCTACAGGACACCTACTACACAAGGCCAGGAGACAGAGCAACACTAATATATAGAAAGCAGAGAAGCAGCCAAAATGCAGAAACAAAGAAATATGTCACAAATGAAAGAAATGAAAGCAAGCAAACTACAGGATACAGAATCCAAAATCATGGTTATGAGGTTACTCAAGGATTAATGAGAGCTTTAAGGGACTAGTGAGACATTTAAAAATATTAGTGAGAATGTCAAAGACATGAAGAAGGATCAGTCAGAAATTAAGCATACACTAACTGAAATAATAATTTACAGGGATTCAACTGTAGAGAATTCCAAGAATCAAATCAATGATTTGGAATATGAGGAAGCAAAAAACACCCAATCAGAAGAGCAAAAAGGAAAAGGAATCCAAAAAATATTAAGAGTCCAACTGGTTTAGCTCAGTGGTTGATCGGCAACCCTTGAACCAAGAGGTTACCAGTTTGTTACTGGGGGTTTGATTCCGTCAGGGCATATGTTAGGGTTGTGGGATCCATCCCCAGTAGGGGGAGTGCAGGAGGCAGCTGATTGATATGTTTCTATCTCATCCATGTTTCTATGTCTCTATTTCTCTTCCTTCCTCTTTCTCTAAAAATAAAAACATTTAAAAAATGAAGATGGTGTAAGGAGCCTCTTGGACAACTTCAAACATACCAATATTCACATTATGGGAGTACCAGAAGGAGAAGAGACAGAGCAAGATATTAAAAACCTATTTGAAGAAATAATGACAGAAAACTTCCCCTACCCGGTGAAAGAAATAGACTTATAAGTACAGGAAGTAGAGTCCCAAACAAGAGGAACCCAAAGAGGCCCACATCAAGACACATCATAATTAAAATCCAAATGCTAAAGATAAAGAGAGAATCTTAAAAGCAGCAAGAGAAAAGCAGTTAATTACCTACAAGGGCGCACCCATACAACTGTCAGCTGATTTTCCTAAAGAAACTTTGCAGGCCAGAAGAGAATAGCAAGAAATATTCAGTGATGAATAGCAAGTACCTACAACCAAGACTACTGTACCCAGCAAAGCTCTCATTTAGAACTGAAGGTCAGACAAAGAGCTTCACAGACAAAAAGCTAAAGGAGCTAATCACTACCAAACCAGTATTACATGAAATGTTGAAGGATATTCTTGAAGAGAAAGAAGAGGAGGAGGAAGAAAAGATAAAATATACGAACATTAAAATAGCAATAAATATCTATCAACAATTGAATCTACAAATCAAAACAAATGAGAAATCTAATGAACAAAATAAACCGGTGAATAAAATAGAATCAGAGGCATGGAAACATGGGACAGTCTGATGAATCTCAGAGGGAAGGGCAGATCTCAGAGGGAAGGGCAGAGAGGGGACAGGAAGAGATTAGCCAAAGATTTACATGCACATATGCATTACCTATGTTTGGGCAGAAACTGGTGCAGGGAAGCAATGGGGGGGAGGGGAGGGCCTGTAATACCCCCAACAATAAAGATTTTTTTTTTTAAAGGCATAATTCAACAAACCAGTATTTTACAAATGACCAATGTAGGTTATTAAGTCATGCAAAAGTAGATCCGTTCAAACTGCAAGATAGGTCAAACAAATTTTAATGTAACAGAACAGTACAAAGTTGAATAGTTTCAGATTTCACATTGCAACTAACTTTCAAGAAACTACCAGTTCTGAAGTTTTGGTAATGTAACAAAGAGGAGTATCCACAATTATCTGAAACTATTGAAATACTCTTCCAAATACATATGTGTGTGAAGCCAGATCTTTTCATACATTTCAAAGCACCACATTACAACAGATTGAATGCAAAAGCAGATATGAGAACCCATCCGATTTACAAAACGAAAGCCAACGCTCTTTAGTTTTGGAAAATAATCTTTTTATAAAACAATGCTCTTTATGTTAACAGGTAATGGTGTTGTTTTTTTTAATACAATAAATATCAATAGATATAACCCTCAAAAGCAAAAGTTCTTTGGGAGCCTCAACCTTTAAGAATATAAATGTTTGAGAACAGTGGGACTAGGAAATTCATATTAGTAAACACGAGTTTTTTGCTAACTCACACATTATTTGTATTTCAAGGGCCACTAAACTCCCAGAGAAAGGTTAAAGTGGTAATAAAAAATGTTTGGAAGTGGAGAAGGGTTTAATTAGTATTGTCTTATATAGTTTAGTTAATTCTTCCCTGGAATTAAAATTTAACTACACAGTTCTGTATGAAACATTTCACAATATTCTAACTATATAAAATGTTTAAAATAACATTCAAAACTGGACTTTTATTTTTAAAAATCATACCAAGTAGTAATATGTCACACTGTTTTTATCAATTCTTTATTTAGGTAACAAGTTGGTTATGTTCACTGCATTGTATGAAACATCACAATATCATACTGGAAAGGTACTGTCAGTACAGGATTGGATCAGAGTGGACAGTTGAACAATAAACCATTTTTTGCATTCTTCATTCCCTATCTTTTAACAACCCTTAAACCCAGTAAAGGGACAAATAGCTTTTAACATCATCATGTAAAGCACTTTAACTTACAAGGCTAAAATCTAAAGAATAAATAAAATATATTGTGGCAATAATTCTTTTAGGCCAAAAATCAGGTGCACAATAAATCGAATGATCAAGGAAGCTGTCTGTATTCAAATGTGTGGCTCTCCAGAAACAGCTTCAGGGAAATGTTACAGAAAAAACCATGAATTCCACTGCACACAGGACCAGATGATGACTCATTTTAACTACACACAAAGGCAATTACATCCCGCTGAAACACAATTTAAACATACAGGAAAGTGTTTACAAAGCATCCACAACATGTAAACCATGTACAAATGGATACATTCATTGCTTCTCCTACCCCAATAGCTTTTAGATAAATATTTCACTCTTCATGTTCAGCATTAATTGGATACATGCAAAACTCAAAAAGAATTCAAGAATTCAAGGTTATTGTAAAAATAGAATTAAATGAATAATCTTCAAGTACCTTATGTGACAGCCACTCTGTACCGTGCCCAATGTTATAAAATGAAAGGTTACTGAACCCATGAAAATATCTCTGTAATATTTCCTTAGTTCTAAAATAGATAATTTTAAATGTATTTATAGTCATTTCAATGTGATATTCTGAGCTTTTAAAATAACGTAAACAATTAAAATTTATACCAAATTACACAAAACTTTTTGTATCTTAAAAGCTGAAAAATTAAAACTATAGAAACCCACATGTAAAACAAAAATCACAATTTACATTATAAAAGCAAATCTCATCATTTAAAAAATTTGCAGCAGTGAGATGTCTAAGCAAATTATAAATAGCCATAAATTAATCCATTTGGTTTCAAAGATTTTCTGGTGTGTGTTGAAGGATATAGGAGACACATGCATAAAATTTTTAAGGGTTTATAATATTATTGCCAAATACACTTATCTTGAAGCAGGCAACATTACAATTTGGACATTATTGAAGAACCCAGTTTGGTAATACAGGTAAAATTCGAAAAAAATTAAATAACAATTAATAAATATATACCCTATAGTAGATTGCCCAAATGAAATTTTAAGCCAGACCTGCAAAAGGCTTTCAACTTGGTGAATTGAAAAAAAGAACATCTCATACAATTCTTTACTCTTACATGCTTATATGTTGTGTGTCTTGTTTAAAAAAACACAAAAAAAACATAATGTATCTTCAAAGTACAGCTAACTATATTCCCATGCACCTCAGGCACAATTATTACTTGTGGTGAAATAACTCCATTGGTTTTTAGGACCAATAGTTCAATACAGATGGAATTAGTATGCCTGAGGTTGGCAAAAATACTGTAGTACAGGCAATGCTACAAGTGGCAATTATCAGAAAACACAAATATGAACAAATGATGGGAAATGCTAATGATTTTCTGCTCATATCACAAAACGTTGGGAATCCACAAGAATATTTTTCCCTTGTATTGAAGAAAATGTGATTAAAAGTTTTTCCCCCAATTTTCAGAATCAAAAGCATTTTAGAAGTTTATAAGGCTACCATGGGTCTTCTAGATCTCCAGCACCCTACAGGAAAAGAAAAGGAAGAATATTATTATTATTTACCTATACCACTTCCAGGTTGGATTGAATTTCAAAAGAAAACAAAATTAGATGAACAAATTACCTTCTTTTGTTTGAAAAGATACTTTTATAGAGAGATGTGTGTATTGTACACTGTGTGTATACACAAAGATTTATCCAATATAGTAGGTAACTGGTTGTTTTTTTCCTCCCCTCTCCACCAAATGCCTTCCTTTTAAACCACTTAAATGTATTTCAGAATTGGAAAAATAGATCAAAACATCAGCTACCTCCGATGATTCCAAAATTTCAACTTACGATACCTTAACCAACTTTAGACACATGATAAATATAAACATGAAGTTAATTATCTACATTCACAAAATAATTGTTTTAAGAAATAGTTTCCCAAGTGACTAATAGTTATCTGTATTTAAAAATCAATTTTAACAAAAACAAAACTCATATATCTGCCACTATTTAAAATACCCTGTAATTCTTGCAATTAATAATATCTGATGAAGACTTATAGCAAAGTAGACAGTCTTGCAATCTTCATCATGGCAATTTTCTGACATGTCTATGTGTATCCATTCTGCCCTAAGATTAATATTGTGTACCATAAAAAGGGAATAAGAAACAGACTAGATTTCCTTTAGGCAAGACTTCTCAAAAATATTTTCCTTTTAGTTAATGAAAAAGCCAAACCAATAGCTTTCTCAATTTTATATAAATACAAATGAATTTCTAATGGGTATTTTTCCAATATACCAAACCTGTTGTAAAATAAAAATTAAAAAAAAGTACAACATGCATAGATTATTCCATATCACATGCTTTATTTGGACTTAAACACTTATAATTTCATTCTGAACACTTGATTGACATATATTTTGATGTATGTGTGTAGTTAGGCTATACAGAATATACAAATCAATTCTATACTTATAATACACAGATTTTTCAAACATTATTTTTCATAAAGAATACAGAGAAAGGAAAATTAACCACATATTCAATAGCTTAGAACATCTAAAAATAAAACTACAGAAATGTAAAAATATAAACAAGTCAAAACACACATTATCATCCGTGAAAAAAAAAAATTACAGGCGAGCATCTGCCATTCTTTGAAGAACTAAAATTACTGAAGAAAACACAAATTTATTACAAATTTATTACTATGAGTATACTAATATGTAAAATACTGTGAGGCAGTAAAATTCTACATTAACAAGTTTTTCCACAACATAATGTAATCTTGCTAATCAGTAACCTTTAAACCTATCTAGTATGAATTTAACTATTGATTTTAATAACTGGTAGCCTCATTTCTGGCATACAATATGAAATAACAATTTTATTAAATTCAAAGTATATAAACAGCCAATTTTAACCTATCTGATAAAGGTGTATGCAAAGGCCTTCTTAAAAAACAAGGCTATATGAATATTAATAAAACTAGTTTACCAAGATTCAAATAACAAAATCGTTATATAAATGCACACACATTGTACTTCCTAGGTAAAAACCATCAAATCAAAGATCACAAAAATATCCCCACAAATTAAAGTCATACTTTTTCATCACCCAAGTTTGTCCCTGCATCTTCATTACAGCTGTCTAAGTCAGCAAGATCACTTCCTGATTCAGTATGGCTTTCCTGCATTGTCACTGGGTTTCCAGCATCACTGTTCGAGGAAGTAGCTGCAGCAGCTGGTTCAGCAGGGCTTTCTTCTCCCTCTACTTTAGCTAGCCTGTAACTAGACAGCATCTCCTCCAGAAGTTGTCGGTAGTTTCCCCTATGATTAATTCTCATTTGCCTGAGAGCTTCCACCAATTTTCCCTGTGATCCACTCTCCTCTGCATCATCGGAGGCCTTTTTTTAAGATTCAAGACCCCAGTGTCAGTAGACAAACTAGGATATCACATGTATTTCATAACACATCACAGCAAAACACTCATTTTTCTGCCATGAGTAATATAGTGTAAGCACGAGAACATTTCATTAAATAAGTATCAAGTCTTACTTATGTCAAATAATAAAAATTTATAATAGAAATATCTCAAGTTATTTTTAGCAAATTACCATTAACTAATTTATTAACTAATTTATGTCTCATATCACATTATAATTTTAAGTTTAACCTGAAGTTTACTCTGCACTATTAGAATTCAACAGCAACACAAGCATTTCCTGAAAGTGACTTACTTAAAAACACAATTGGCTATAATGATTTAGTATAAAAGGGAAATTAGTGTGTAAAGCAATAGGAATGGACAGAAAAGCAGGCATTAGAACATTAGTTTCTCTGTGATTTCTGCTAAATGACAGGTAGGAGAGGAGATAAAAAATGTTAAACTTTATAAAAGGAAATCGAATTTTGGAGAAATATTAAAATTTTCATGGATAAAAATTTTAGTTGCATTTTTGTCTTTAAAGAATTTAATAAAACATTTGTAAAAATAGACTAATCATTTTAAACATTACAATAAGGTATGAATAGCTAACTCCTTATCCTTTTCTATTTTATTAAATTTGGGGAAACCTACAGCTTTCTACAATAGCAGCTACTGATTCTTGTTGGCGGAACAAGCTCTAACATCCAAGCTAATTAAAGTTAAGCTGAAAGAGTAAATGCCAGACAATCTTACATTATATGCCACCTGATGTGATGAATTAGGGAATACAGGGCCATGTCCTGTGTTCTTGCCAAAAATATTTAAAATAAATCTAATAAAACTAATTACTATTTTACAGGAAACAGAGAATAGAGAATCAAGTTAAAGGACAACACAAGGAAACAATCATTATTCTGAATGTAGGACATCCTATAAAAAGCTGGCTCAGATTCTTATTTAGTGTCAAGGGCGGAAAAGTATGGTCTTGATTAAAAACTTGCTTAACCCTTTTTGGTCCAACCTCGAGGCTGACTCGACAGACCAGGCGCTAGGAGCAGGTCCAACGTCGAGCAATTAAGAACATTAAAAAGTTCAACATTCAATCCCATCAATTAATTTGGACCAGACTGTTAGAATTCCAAAAATAACATTGGACCGCAAAGGGTTAACATGCTTGAATGATAACTTAATAACCTGATTAGACTATGGTTCAAAATAATAACTATGATAGTCATTCTAGGGACAACTGGGACTTGATATTAAATTTATTACTAATTTTCTTAGTATAAGATTATGCTCATGTAGAAAAATGTCATTCTTTTATTTTTTATTTTTTAAAATATATTTTATTGATTTTTTGCAGCGAGAAAGGGAGAGAGATAGAGAGTTAGAAACATCGATGAGAGAGAAACATTGATCAGCTGCCTCCTGCACATCTCCCACTGGGGATGTGCCCGCAACCAAGGTACATGCCCTTGACTGGAATCGAACCCGGGACCTTTCAGTCCGCAGGCCAATGCTCTATGCCAAACCAGTTTCGGCCTTTTTTTTTTTTTTTAAAGATTTTAAAATTGATTTTAGAGAAAGAGGAAGGGAGAGAGAGATGGAAACATCAATGATGAGAATCATTCATTGGCTGCATCCTGCATGTCCCTACTAGGGATCAAGCCCAAAACCCAGGTGTGTGCCCTGACTGGGAATCGAACCAGCAACCTTTTGGAACATGGGATGACACCCAATGAACTAAGCCACACTGGCCAGGGCAAAATGTCCACATTCTTAAGAGGTACATGCCAAAATAGAGGTAACATATTATGATGCCTGCAATTTGCTGTCAAAGGTTTAGTAAAAAAAAACCACACAAACAAACAAAAACAACCAGTAGCCCTGGCCAGGTGGCTCAGTTGGTTGGAGCATCATCCCATACACCAAAAGGTTGTGGGTTCAGTTCCTGGTCAGGGCACATACTTAGGTTATAGGTTCAATCCCCGGTTGGGTGCACCCAGGACCCAACGATGTTTTTCTCTCACATCAATGTTTTTCACTCTCTGTCTCTCTCTCTCTCAAATCAATAAACATATCCTCAGTGAGGATTAAAAAAAAAAAAAGGTAGGTAGTGTACAAACACAAACACACACACACACACACACACAAAGAGATAAAGCAGATACGGTAAAATGTTAACTATTGTTGAATCTAGGTAGAAGGTATTCATCATGCTCATTTCAACTTTTCTATAGGTTTGGAAGTTTTCATCATAAAATGTTGGAAAAATAAAATACAAAAATAGTTAATAATATAGATGACCTGGCACAAATTCTTAAACATCTTTGGAGACTAAGACTCTATAATTCTATGACAAAAATATACTAATAAGCACACAATAAAAGACAATGTTTACAAGAAAAATGAGAGTACCTAAACACTTTTTATAAAAAGTGCCATGTGGCAAAAAGAGATGATAACTCTGTATAGCATATGTTTTATGTGTGTATATGATTGTGTTTCTGTTATTTTAGAATATCATATACAAACTGCCTGGGTGGAAAAGAAATACAACAATATATAGGAATGGGCAAAAGTAGGTTTGCAGTTGTTTGTATGGAAAAAGACATGAAGGTTGTGAGGTTATGATTATTACAATAGCTTTATGAACTCAAAAGAATGGCACAGTGCACTTACCTTGTAAGTGCTCAAATTGCTGGCCTTCACTATTTACACATTCTTATAGTCTCTGAAAATCCACCTGAGGTGGTTGAATTCAAACCTACTTTTGCCCACCCCTATATAAATAATGATAATGGGTAATGAAGTTACAGATGCTTGTTTTCTTTAAATTCTCCAATTTTTTATATCAAGCATATTAACTGTCAAAATAATTTTATTTGCAAAATTTATTGTGTGGTGAGAACATAAAATGTGTTCTCTGTTAATATTTTTCATATTTACCTTTCCTTCTGTACTAAATAAACATGTTTCCTAAATAAAGTTTCCCTTTTGAATCTATTCAGGAAAAGTTAAGATGGAACCATGATAAGTGCTTACTAATCATAAACTTTATCAGTGTTTAGTCAGGTCTGCCAAAAGGCAATTTTCTACTTAGTGATAAATTACAAAGAACTTCTAATGAAGGGCAATCCCCCACCCCCATCTCCCGAAAACCTCAAAGCAAAAACTCCCCTTTTTTTAAAAAAAAACACACACACACTTCTAGGACATTGAAACAAAATCTTCAATTGGGCAGTTGACTTACACATAGCGAAAGTGAGTATCAACCCTGGTATTCACATAAGAATCACCTCTGGAGCTTTTAAAATCGTACAGATACCAAAGTTCCACCCCATTATATCCAGGTTCAGTGGGTTGGGGTGATATATAATTCTGTGAATTGCTGGGGGGGGGGGGGGGGGGGGGGGGGGGGGGGGGAAGGATTTGCTTTTTAAAAACCACACTAAAACCAAACCTGTAAATTAAGTAGGGACGGGTTTATAATGGTTGGTATCATAGAACAACTGAATTGAAAAGAACTTGAGCTACTGACTACATTTAAAAGTCATTTTTATCTTACAGCAAATTACATTTCCCTATCATATTAGATAGATGATATATGGGTGAAACCCTTTCCTTAGTCATTTCATTCGAGTCTTCAAAATACTATTACATAACCCTCTCATGGAGTTTCATTAATATCAGAAAAGGAACCTATTATTATTTTTTAAATCCTCACCCAAGGATATATTTTTCATTGATTCTAAGGAGAAAGGAAGGGAGAGGGAGAGACAGAGAGAGAGAAACATTGATGTGAGAGAGAAATATCGATCGGTTGCCACTGTACGCACCTTAACTGGGGACGGAATGGACATACAACCTGGGCTGTGCCTGACAGGGAATCGAACCTGTGATCCTGGTGTACTGGATGATGCTCTAACCAACTGAGCCACTCGGCCAGGGCAGGAACCTATTATTTACCTGCACTTTCTTTACCTGAATTCATACATACATACATACATAGCACATCATGTATACACATCTATTACAGCAATTAATTCACTTTGCAACTGTTTACAAGTCTCTCCATTAGACTGTAAACTCAATGAATTAAATATAATTTCATATTACTTCCTGCATCCTCACTACCACCTACAGAAGGAAAATTGTTTGTGCTAAGAACTATAAATGCATAATCTCATTTAATCCTCACAGGTACCCTAAGTAATAGGCATTTCAACACTAACTGAAGAAACTAAGGCTCAGACAGATTTAAGCTATTTGTCAGGGTGACAATACTAGTAAGCAACAGAGCTCAGTTTTGTGTTCAGGTGCAAATAACATCAATGTCCCTCTGAATGTTTATTGAATACATTATGGTAAATAATAGGTTTTGCATAAACACTAAATAAATAATGGTTAAAATGACTGTAAAACTAGATCACAAATCATTTCATTTCAAGTCTATAAAGTATTACGAAGATTACAAAATGAGAGAACCAAGAAAATCACATTAAATGAAATATTAAAATTATTCTTCAAAATCAATTTAAGGCAATTATGGAGATTGGAATTTAGAACTTTTCTCTCAGTTTTTGTAAGGTTTTACCTGTTATCTAGACTAACACAGCTTAAAAATAAAATCTCTCATTATGAAAATACTGTCTGACACCAAGTAAGACATAGGAATCTATATACCTCATAGAGCAAAAAAGGAAGGGAGACGGGAATCTAAGCACATTTTAAAAGTAAAATTTCACTAGCTATTAATTGCATTAAAAAAAATGCAGTTGCCATAAGCAAAATTCTTCAAATGATTAGCTAAAACAATGGAGAAAAAGTAAACAATACTACTATACTTATTATGGAGTTTTTTTGTGGAGTCCTATGCCCTGCTTGTCAGCTAAAAATAAATTTTAGAACTAAAGATTCTCAAATATGATTTCATGAAATACAATGACCAAATGAAGAATCTGATAAATTAGATGT